GACTGTAAATGACTGGACACAAGTCATCTTCTCCGACGAATCGCCGCATGAACTGTGCCATCAAACAAACACAAAAAATGACGCTATTTGGGCTCCAGGTCGTAACAGGGTGGAGAATTTTGAAGTTTCATAGTTCAGCCCAATAGTCATGGCGCCGGGAGCAATGCCCTTTGGAGGTTTCTCTGGTCTCCACAGGGTCAAGGAGTGAATGGTGAATATTATAGAAACGATATCCTTCAGCAAAAACTGTCTAAAGTATTATAAAAAATCGTATGAGCTGGTCAAAATTTGAAAATAAACTGGTTCCCGACATATCAGGGATTATTTTATGTCGGACGGAGCCACAGCTCTGGAGACCTAACGGTTGCTGTCAGAGAAAATTGCACATTTATGGAAGAAAGATATGTGGCCAGCAAATAGTTCTGACTTAAATCTAATTGAAAATAGATGGTCAATTCTTGGTAAGAGGCTGGATTGGAGAGATCCCTACTGAATGCCTAGAGAAAGATCCTCTTGGAGACACTCCAGAATCTCATTCATTCGATGTCAAGGAGGGTAGAAGCTGTCCTAAAAGTGAAAGGCCATTTTCCTGTAAAGTGACTTGTGAAATATATATGTTACTTTGTAAACTGTGAGTGTGTTATTAGGATGCAAATAATTTCGTGAAACCCCTTACAGTGCTGTTCGGTCTCTAAAGTCAGAACGCCAATTAACCGTGTTTCCGTCGCCAAAGATGGTTTGACGGACGCGCTCGTTCAAGGCCAGCTGCCTCTAGGTCATTCACTATCCCAGTCCGCTTTCAGGCGTGCTGACCTGCAGACACTTGACCGACTTCCACTCTGACACGCACACATGCGTGTCCAGGTTGTTGCGGCTGCCCAAGCGCCACTTGAACACGCCAATCAGAGAACATTTGAACCTGCTCCACAATCCTTCTTAAGCAATTGCCGCCACTGTCTTATGCTCTCTCAGGTCTGCCTGGACGCAGTCAACACTAGCCCTGGCTTCGCCTGTGGCCGCTGCCGCCTGAGACAGCAATAAAGCCTTTTACCTACAACTTGGGACTTTGGCATGATGATTGTAGTGATCCGAGTAGAACCACTACTTAGACACTACAACCGCTCCCAGTTAGCGCCTCTCCTGTTTCTGATAACTCATGATTCTCAGTTGCGTGTCTTAAATGTCAACATTTGCGATTTCCTCCATCTTTGTTTCACCTCTCCATTCTGACTTTCCCCAATAGGTGCACACGATCCCGGCCAAAATGTTTCGTCGCGTTCTGACGCTTGTTCAAGCGCATTGCAAGTTGGGACTGACGGCCACTCTTGTCCGCGAAGATGACAAAATTACTGACCTGAATTTCCTAATCGGGCCCAAATTGTATGAGGCCAACTGGCTGGAACTGCAAAAACGCGGTTTTATCGCTAAGGTCCAGTGTGCTGAGGTCTGGTGTCCAATGACCTCCGAATTCTATCGCGAATACCTGCAAGTAAGCACTGCTACAATTCTTGATAGATCTCCCCCTCCTCCCTTCTCACCTGCCCCTCCTCGTTGGTAAAACTTTTTCTAACTCACACTGCAATATGCCTGCACGCTTCTCTCCCCCCTGCCCTTAGATGAAAAGTATGAAGAAACAGCTGCTGGCCGTGATGAACCCAAACAAGTTCCGCGCCTGTGAATACCTCATTCGTTATCACGAGCGGCGCAATGACAAGATAATTGTTTTCTCGGACAACGTATTTGCCCTCAAGTATTATGCAAAGAAGATGGATCGCCCCTACCTCTATGGCCCCACCAGTCAGACTGAACGGATGCAAATTCTTCAGAATTTCCAGTACAATGCTAAAGTAAGGATTTGCGTGCCTGCTCTCTCGTTGCTATTTGTCCAGTTCAGTTTATTTGGTGAGGGTAATAGGCAAATGCCTTTGAAAACCCGATTGATTAAATGCCGGTGCGTCGTATACATCTGTACATGCATGCGTAACATTGTCACTATTGAAATAGTACTGACAAACAGCGAGTAGCATTATTTTTACAAATAACTCTTGTCTTCTGTATGGTGTTAGTTTGAGTTCATACTTACGAGTGACAACAGGGGACACATGTAGAGGTTGGGCGTACGATTTTCTGTTCAAAGTTGAATACTTAAAACAGGCCGTAAGCCATTCCTTTTTCTTCTCGTCAGTTGCTTTCAGAGACCGTATTTCACATTCGTTTTTCACTGTTTGACGATCTGACGATCGTCCCCTTTTCATTTGGTCGTTATTCGAAGACTGATCGCATATAACACGTCTACCTTTATAATTTAAGTAATATGCTACGTAGGTGTTTCCCACGATCCCAGTTGAGCGGTGACCTAACGCTTACTCTGTAGCACAGATATACTATAATGCAATGTCATAAAGTAGGTAAGTCAAGGAATATACCTTCAGGTGAACCTCTGCTAGCTGACGATTCTACCGAAATCTTCCGAGTGCGTCATATCTACCATGCATTTTGCAGTTCTGTTGCTCGACTTCTAGGTCCACTTTCTTGGCAGCCAAGTTTCTATTTGCTCGATTGTTCCCTAGCGTACTGCGAGGGGTGTCGTTGGTTTGCTCACCAAAGTGCCAGGGTTCGAACTCTGCTCCGACAGTAGGAAACTCGCGTTGGAAGTAAGATGTGGCAGAGTTTCGCTTTTGCATACTGTCGGTAAACTAGTAGGTGCGAACTTGGAACCTCAGTGGTTCCTCTGCATCCGACACCCATACTTCTCGTGGTTGTGGGCGTCCTCTTTTTCTCATGCTTTGTCAAGTTTGTTTGCTGGCAAATCATCATCATCACCAGCTTGTGAATCCGTTAATTACTTTTAAGAAGGCCATTGTTATAGCCCCTGTACCAACCTGTCTATGTGGCTACGAATAGGCGGCTTTTGTCAAGCGTGGCTGAGGTTTCGGAATAGCACAGTATTGCGTTGAGAGGAAGTAAGTAAGTGTCTGACCATCGGTTTCGATGATATCAACCAAGTGCACCA